AAGGGGGAGAAGTCTGATAATGGCCCTTGTGGAAAACCGCTTACTCCTTCATTTCTGATTCCTCATCCTAAGATTTAACTCTTTCTCCTGGAGACCCTGAAAAGTGAAGGTTTGGTACAATACCAGTCCCTGGTCACCAAATTCTAGGGATCCCAAGTCCCCCCGGGGGGCAGGGAAACCCCCGTCCCAGAGGCCCGTTCCCTGGTGCTGCTGGATCGGGCCCTGGGGGAACTCCTCCCCGACGTGCGCATCACCCGGAAGTCTATGGTTTTCCCTTGTATGGTCATGGCCCCACCCCCAGCATGCCCAGCATCATAACGTCACTTCCTGGTGACGTGTGTGTGGTGTGCGCGCTTTGGGATCCACCCAGGAGTCTCCCGCCGCCAAGGTAAGTTCCGCTTGGCAACCCTACCAAATTCAGATCCATCTCTCAGAAAGAATTTGGTCTCAAACACTTGTTAGACAACTCATCTTCCATAATCTGTGAAATCCTGTTGACTCAATGAACTAACGAGCTAGATTTGAGTCCAGTAGCACTTTAGAGACCAACAAGCTTTCTGGGATATAAGCTTTCAGCAAATCTGGTTAAAGGAGCTTTGAAACTCAAAAGTTTATACCACCCAAATTTTGTTAGCCTATCAGGTGCTACTGGACGTGAATTTAGCTCTTCTGTTGCAGACCAACATGGCTACACTCCTGAGCCTAAATGAGCAATAGGGTATTTTTTTGTTCAGATTCTAGTTTTATTGCATGCCTCAGTCCCAAAAGAATGGAACAGTCAGAAGATGTATTTTCTATTTTAATTAGACATCTGAGGCTAATCCTTTTAATAAGCAGTTGATGCTCAAAATATGACAGACACATTTTAAAATAGCCCACAGGCTAAACAGTTGCAGTGTACATAACGTACTCAGTGTGTAACAACACATATGCCCCTGTCATTCTCATATCAGCAGAGCTCAAGTGAAGGGCAAGCTTTCATCCCTTTGGCATAAGAAAAGCTTTAAGAGCCTTGAAAAAGGAATCCCAGTCCCCCCTCCCCCTTAAATGGAGAATTAAACATAATTTTTGAACAGAAGAATTCAAAGAAATAAGTGAAGTTTCAAGGAGGCTGCCTACATCTAATCGTTGTTCATTCAGCTGGAGACAGCTATAAAGGTTTGCAGTAGGCTGCCCTGTAAGCCACCCTGAGCCGGCTCAGGCTGGGAGGGCGGGGTAAAAACTCAAATAAATAAATAAATAAATAATGTTGATCCACCTGTCAAGGCTGGGGCCACTGAGGGCAGACAGCAGTCCATGCACAGCTGGGCCTATGCTTGAGACACAAACTGAGGGCCCACCCTAATGGTGAAGAACCTGACTGAAGTCGGCGACTTTATAAGAACAGATGTGGCCTTACTGGCTGTTTGGTGTCACCTGATCTGTTGTGGGCTGCCACTGGCATCTTCTGTAGCTGTGATGCTGTCAGGGGTGGGCTAGCCATTTGATGTACAGGGAAATTTCCTGGTGGCCCACACCATGATAGAGGTTTACTGGTAGGGTTGCTAACCCTGGGCTGGGAAACTCCAGGAGATTTATAGGTGGAGTCTGGGAAGGGGAGGGAGCTCATTAGGGATGTTATTCCATAGAGTACACGTTCCAAAGCAGTCATTTTATTCAGGGGAACTGATGTCTGTAGTCTAGAGATCAGTCATAATTCCGGGAGAATGCCAGGCCCCACCTGGAGGATGGCGGTAGAGATACCAGCCTCCAGGTGGGACCTGGGGTTCCCCTGGAATTACAGATTGTCTCCAGACTACAGAGGTCAGTAGTTCCCCCGGACAAAATGGATGCTTTGGAGGGTGGACTCTGTGGTATTGTACTCCACTGTCCCTGTCCTCCTCAGGCTCCATTCCCAAATCTCCAGGAGTTTCTCACCCTGGATCTGGCAACCCTAACCCCCCATCCCCTGCTGGTGGTCCGGGGGGGGGGGACCTGGAACCCTTAGTTGTGGAGGGCACTGCTGGCCTGACCTGATCTGTGCTGGGTGGGGGGGACCTGGCAACCCTATAAATAAATAAATAAACAAACAAACCCTAGTTGGCGGTGGAGGGAGGACGCAGAGCCATGCGCCAGTAACTCTCCTGATGATGCAGACCTTTCAGTGGTAATGAAGATCAGTTTCAGCTAGGGTTGCCAACAGCCTGGAGAAAAAAATGTCCTGCCCCTTTAATGGAGGATTAACATGTGGAAACAGACAGGGTTACTCTTTTTATGGCATGGAGGCCAATAATATCACCTGGTAAATAACATCACATTAAGCATCTGTCAGAGGGACAGGGCATTTATTTCTCCAGGCTTTTGAAAACCCTGGTATCAGCCCCCTAAATGCCTCCTCCTGCAGTGCTGCCAGTGCCCATACTTCTCGCCTCAGGGTGGTCCTGCAGCGCTGGCTTGTACTATAGCCAGTTTAGCTTCCCAGAGCAGCACAGATCAGCAGGGCTGACTCTCTCACTAGGCCAGCTAGTGTCTGGCCTAGGGCGCAGCTCCGTCCAGGGCGCCAACTGCCCTGCTACCGCCCCCCAGGCCCCCACCGTCCCTGCTGAGCACACGTCGGTTTCCCCCGCCCCTCTCCTCCGGCGCGGGCCGGCTCCGCTCAGCTGGGGCTGAAATCCCTCGGCTCCCCAGGAAGCCAACTCGGGTGGCCAGAGGGGGGGGAGGGAGGTGGAGGGGAGAGGAACGTGGTGCCCCTGGCTGGGCCAGTCTGCCTGCGGGGATGGGGGAGGCACGGCAGGGCGCTTCTCTGCCTCTTCAGGCTGCCGCGGGGGGGGGGGGAGTAGGGAGCGTGCACGGAGGCGGCTGGCCAGGCTGGGGGGGGGCTGCACTCCTGCATGCCTGCCGGCCCCTCCTCCCTCATCCCCCTCCTGCTGTGGGCTCTCCTCCTGCTACCGCCTCCTCCTCCTCTGCTGCCGCGGCCTGCCAACTGGCTGGGCGCTTCTCCGCCCCTTCAGGCTGCCGGGCGGGGGGGGGGAGTAGGGAGCGTGTGCAGAGGCGACTGGCCAAGCTGGGGGCAGCAGCGCACTCCTGCCTGCCTGCCTGCTGGCCCCTCCTCCCTCCTCCTGCTACGGGCTCTCCTCCTCGGGGGGGGGGGCAGCATGCGCGCCTGCCTGCCGGCCCCTCCTCCCCCTGCGGGCCAGGCCCAGGGCAGCAGGCGCTCTCTCCGGGCCCCAGCACGTGGCATCACTCTGTCTCTCCCCCCCCAGGTGGTCGGCTGGGAAGTCTCCAGGCCCCACCCTGGAGGGGGGTGCCACGAGGCAACCTCGCCTAGGGCACACAAACCCCTTGGGCCGGCCCTGCAGATCAGGTCAGGCCAGCAGTTCCTTCCACAAATATTGCCACAATGCCATACAGAGTAATTCAGCTGGGTTCCTTTGCCCAGAGTTCCTAGTTCGACAGCTCTTGCTCTTCGCCACACTCTCCTGTCGTCATTCTGTATAGAGTTCGATAGGCTTAAGTCCCACCAAATCCAATGACTAGGGATGCCAGTGGCCCACTTATAGAGGGAGGCTTCCTGCCCTTCGGGTCCTCCTTCCCACCCACGTTCCTTGGGAAAGGCCCGGACCCAGAAGTGTTCCAGGGATGTGCATGACATCACATCCACCAGAACACCCAGATGTGACGTTGGTGCATATTAAGCAACGCTTTGGGTGTCCCTAAAAACTCCTTGAGAAGTACTAAGGAGTTTTGGGGGATGGCCAGACTGTCATCCCGATGTGCTGATCTCAAATCTGGGTTTTCGGGCAGGTGTGATGTCATATATTGCTGTGCGTCATTTCCACGAATTGCCCTGCCCCAAGAGCACCCGGGAGATGTCGGCTGGCAGGCTTGGGCATAATTAGTTCCAACATAACACAAAACTATGTTTTATTTTAACTTTAGTTAGTTTGTGGAATCAGGATTCAACTCAAAGACTGACTCCAGTTTGCCTTGACCCCATTCAGTGGGATTTATAGTTCAAAAGTCATTTTTATATATGGGAACGGATCTGATACTAAATTATTATGTTATTATGTTATACCTGTTGATGTATGTTGACAACTTCGTTGGTGATTAACTGGCTGGTTTGTAATTTTGGATTCTCAGGACTCTTGCATACTTTTTTTGCAGTTATTGTACATGTTATAAGTTATACTTGATCTTAATAAACATTTTAAAAACCAAAAAAAACAAAACAACAACAACAAATACTGGTTTACTTTCCTTCTCTCTTTTGCCTGGTAGGACATCGCCAGGGAACAAGCCAGGGTAAAGCCAGGATCTCTGTATTCAGGCATCACAGGGAACCACACTTGAACTAACTACAGAGCCTGGTTTGTTCAACCTGAACTAACTGTAGATACTGGAGTGACCTGCAGTCAGACACTAAAACTTTAAGCTAAATAATAATCATTAAAAACACACACACAAAGTGGGCTTGAATTATTTGCAATGTATGATATTTGTTGAGGAGCTTTGTACCAGGTGGATATTATTATGAAATTTTGCCATTTTTTGTGTAATTATAGGAGATTTGTTTTTGTAGGTTCTCCAGATATCTAGCCATTTATCTTGGGTGAGTTCTGTTTTACACACTTTCCCCCAGTATTTCTGATATGGTAGCACTGTGTTCTCTTGAAAGGACGTTAAGATGGCATATATCTTTGCTGTTTATAAAAATGAATAAAAATTATCTGTTTAAAAAAACCACACACACACACACACAAACACACACAAACCACCACCACTGTGCTCCTAATTTTAATAAAACAAATAAATGAGGCATTATTTTTTTTCCAGTTTCAGGACAGGGATGAACTGTGTTTATTTTCCATAATAAATGAAAATTAAATTTAAAACTGAGCAGACATTCTCAAATCGTAAGGACAGCAAGACAAAAAAGAAGAAGAAGATACCCACTCTTTCATGCAAGGTACACTGAAAGAAAAACATAAGAGACAGCTTTGGAAAATAAATTGACTCACCAACTTTCTTTTACCAGTCCTCTAGACACTTGTGTGGTAAATGTCCACCCTACATACAGAAAAGTGCCATCACATTGGTGAACATGCCAGTCCTAAAAACAGATAAAGGACAAAGGAGAGATGCCTTCCCTCCTGCCTGGTGGCATCAAGAATGACTGTCCCCCACAAGAATGTTTTCAAGGGTAATCTGCCCACTTGGCAGCCTTAAATATAGCATTATCTCATGTCATTTCAATGACAATGGAGCTACCATCCAGGCTTATTATCCCTAAACAGCGCTCTGGCTGGGTAAACTTTTCTAGATCAAGAGGATGAATGCCATTGTTAAACTGGTAGCAGTGCCTGCCCCATTTGGGAATCCTAAAATCTACACACACACACACACACACACACACACACACACACACGTGTGAGTCCACACGATAGTACAATTCCTCAGATTCCAGCTTGTCAATTGGTTCTGCACTCTAAGGCTCCAGGGCTAAATGTGGCTTAGTATGGAAACAAATATGGCTCTTTAAAAAAGAAAATGAAGTGTTAAAGTCTATTGGAGGGGAGGGAAATGGGATGCGAGAATAACCAGTATGTCAAGGGAACAACGGACAAAGATTTTTATGGGACTGAAGTGCTTCTTAGAGATGTTTTACAGAAAGGGAAATGATGAGCAGTTTGTGAGTTACCAGGCACCCTCTAGGGTTGCCAGTGCTCTCTCTAAGCTGAGCAAAAATTCTACTTTGTGAGCTACTGCCATTAAAGTTGTGAGCGAGCGGTTTGGCTGCTGCATAAATTAGTTTGCTCTGGAGCCATCCCTCCTGAGCTGAGACAAAAACGTGTGGGCCGGAGGCTAAAAAACTAAGCTTAGAGGGAACACTGGTTGCCGCCTCTAGGAGGGGCCTGGAGATCTGCTGGAATTACAACTAATATCAACTACTGAGCTCAGTTCCTCTGGAGCTTTGGAGGGTGAATCCCATGGTATTATACTCTTCTGAGGTCCTTCCCCTCCCAAGGCTCCACCCCCAAATCTCCATGAATTTCCCAGCCTGGAGTTGGCAACCCTATGACACCCAGCAATGTTCCATAGCAGAGTAGGGAACACTAACTAGGATATCACAACACTAACTAGTATATCACACTAACTAATGGTGTGTCTGCATGTGAACTTTACACTCCCCATTTCAAGCTTTAGAGCTAAAATGTATGTGTGGGAAGAAGAGGAAGTAGTTAATACAGAACTGTAGGAAGGAGAATTGGAAAACAGAAGCTACCTTATTGTGTGCAGGGAGGGTTTTGTGCCACGTTTCCCTGTGTTGATTGTTGGCCTCAGCCAGGGCTATTTTGGGGCAGGAATGAACAGGAACGGAGTTCCGGCTGGCTCCCAAGTTGGCCACGCCCAGCAGGAACTCATTAGCATAATAGGCCACACCCAAGAGCAGAAACTCATTAGGATTGGCTACATTAGGGGTGTGTGGCCTAACATGCAAAGGAGTTACTGCTACAGAAAAAGCCCTGGGTTTTGACAACAAACAAGGTAAACAGAATAAGAAGGGAAAGGTGGGTGTGGCTGGATGAGTACACTTCTGGTAACACAGGGGTGTGGCCTCATATGCTAATGAGCTGTGATGTCAGGGTATGGCCTAATATGCTAATGAGTTTTGCTGTTGGGTGTGGCCTATTATGCTAATGAGTTCCTGCTGGGCTTTTTCTACAAAAAGGGCCCTGGACCAACTGTGAACTACTTCTCCCAGATTGCTGTGTGGTTTTGCACAAAACGTGTGTGGCTAAAAGGCATTATTAAACATTTTAAGGATCAGAACCCTGCAACCCTCAACAATATACAGGACTATAGAATATAACAAGCAGGTCATGAATTTTCCACACCTTCAGTGAGCATCCAGAGGCTGTCCACCTTTCTTGAATGGTGGTGCCTGTCAATGGGTCAAGGTATTGGGTTTCCTTTTAACAACCCCAACTAGAACAAATGAGCTGTGGTGTTTAATTACGGGAGGAGTGGCATCACCTGGCATGTTGCTGGTATGGGATTACAGGCAATTGCTCAGACCCACAGATGGTTGGATCTGCTCACTGGAAAGAGGAGAGTTTCTGTGGATACCGTTGAGTCTTGTCTGCATTCCAGACAGCAAACACACCCTTGTGGGGTGGGGAGATAGCCTCTTCAGTTCATCTCTCAGCATATGACTGTCAGATCTGTGTCTTAGTCAGTAAGAACCCCCAGATGGGCCTCTTTCTGTGTGGATCCTTTCTGGTTATTTATTTAAGACATCTCTGATTGTCTGATTCTTTTTTCAGGCCACTGGAAATGAAAAGGTGCACCGAAAACCTTTGTGGAACTTGACTCCTCAGAAAGGAGCAAGAAGCGACCTTTAAACTGGGACACCAAGCTGCTGGATCTGGTAAAAGAGAAGGTGTGGAGATGTTTATTACAACATGAGGGCAAATAGAGCAAAGGCCATGTGCTTTCACTTTCATTGCCCTTGGGAGAGGAACTTAATTGATGTCAACATTCCTTGCTTAGGGTGAGGCTCAGTGGAATATAGACATCCTAGGAAATCCTTCAAAAGATACATTCAGTTTAGCAGCTATACCTCAGAGGAGATCATATTGGAACATTCCAACACAAATCATGACCAGTGTTCCCTCTAAGCTGAGTTAGTGTGAGCTAGCTCACAGTTTTTTTATCCTCTGGCTCACACCTTTTTGTCTGAGCTCAGGAAGGATGGCTCCAGGGCAAACTAATGCATGCAGTAGCCAAATAGATCGCTCACAATTTTAATGCCAATAGCTCAAAAAGTAGAATTTTTGCTCACAAGACTCCACAGCTTAGAGGGAGCATTGATCATGACTAATATTTACTGGGCATCTTTTATGATCCCTGACCTGGATAGCCCAGGGACTAGCCCAATTTCAGTATATCTTGGAAGCAAAGCAGGGTCAGCCCTGGTTAGTATTTGGATGGGAGACCACCAACGAAGTCCAGGGTTGTGACACAAAAGCAGGCAATGGCAAACCACCTCTGAATGTCTTTTGCTTTGAAAAACCTATGAGGTTGCCATAAGTCAGTTGTGTCCTGACAGCATAACCACAACAGCATTTTATGACCTATGAGAGATTTTCTTACTAGGATCTCATAAGCCACATGCTCCAAGGATTGAAGCGTTCTTTTTCTTTCATTCAGGGTCATAGTCAAGGAGGTGATGAGTTTTGTAGGCCCAGCTGCCCCCTGAGGAGAGACTTCATAGGATTGCCTGTTCTGGGTTGGGAAACTCTGCCTGAGGTGGGCAGAATTTGGGGAGGGGAGGGAGGTCGGCAGCATGGAGTGCAGCCTTTGCAGCTGCCATTTTCTCCAACAGAATTGATCAGTTGTAATTTCAGGAGGACTACAGGTCCCATACAGAGTCCAACCATTTTAATAATTTTTAGCTTCCATTTAAACAAAACAAAACTCTGGGGTCATGTACTTTTTCATAGACGGGAATATGGCAAGCAGGATCCTATCAGGTTGTTAATTCTGCTTCCGTCTTCCAGCATCCTGGCTGATAAATGCAACGGTTGGGCAAACACTTGGTCTTTTAACACTTTTTATAATTTATTAACATTACTTATCAGTTACATTTTAATGTATGTGGCTGCACAGTACCTTCAAGCCATGTCTCTTTCCTGAATCTCCTGGAAACTTTTAATTACAGTGGATGGTTAAATTCCCACTTAGTTTTTCCCTGCTCTCCAACCCAGAAGCAACCAATGAACAGTGGAACCTTGGGCAGAGTAATGCTGAGCAATATGTAATGTTGGGATTTCTATTTTTGAAGGTAACTTTCTTACATTTTGCTGCTTGAAATTAAGGAGATGGACAACATCTTCAGCTGGATTCAAATCGTTGGCCTGTCTTCTCGGTCTCTGAAGCCCTGAAGATTGGAAGAACTTTGTCTACGGATAAATCTCCTTTAGGTAGCAATCATTCTCTGAGGACCTTATCTCTGATACCACAGACAACTCCATCCCTTATCAGATGGTGTTTCCATCTCCAGCTTGGGAAATTCCCGGAGAACTTGGGCAATGCCTGGGAAGGGCAGAGTTTGGAGAGGGGAGGGAGCGCAGATGTGATGTCATAGAGTCTACCCTCCAAAGCTATAATTTCCTGCAAGGGAACGGATGTCTGGAGTAAGCTGTAATTCCAGGACAGCTCCAGGCTCCACCCTACTTATCAGAGGATCTTTCCAGTCACCAAAGCCACAATTTCCCCCAAACGTTCTTAATTCTGTAACATTCTGGTCTGCTTTTTGTGTGCATGTAGAAATATATTTCTTTCAAAAGCTTCATTCTCAGCTTAATGTACTCCACTGCCCATTCTCCATTACTGACATACTGTGATATTTCTGGGTCCTCGGATAAAGAATACCAGAATAAGGAATGACTGAAAAACAAATTTAATACAAAGAACAACTAAAACATCTTCTACAGCTAAGCCTCGTTCCGGAACTAAGGTCATGCGATCTTAGAGCAAGTCCTCAAACCACCAGCTCATTAAGGCTGTTAAAGGAATGTCTCTGAAACGTAAATGTCATAACTTCCACTTTTGCATCCCGTATCTGTTACTGGGATACACGAGGTCAAAGGCCTAAGAGGTGCTTTGGCCTTGTTTCCCTGAAAATCCCTAAATTATAGAGCTGAAGTCCCTAATATTGGTGAACCTGCAGACACTTTTGAAATTTTGGAAAATGGCAGTCGGTAAGGGCTGCCAGCTCCAGGCTGGGAAATACTCGAAGATTTGGGAATGGAGCCTAGGGTTTGAGGAGAGAAGGGAGCTCAGTGGGGTTTAATGCCATAAGAGTCCACCCTTCAAAGCAGCTATTGTCCCCAGGAGGATTTATTTCTGTAGTCTGGAGATCAATCATAATTCAGTGAGATCTCCACACCCCACCTGGAGGTTGTAGGGTTGCCAGGCCTGGGTTGGAAAATACCTGGAGACTTTGGGGGTGGATCTGGGAAAAGGTGGCGTTTGGGGAGGGGAGGGGCCTCAGCATGGTACAATGCCATAGAGTCCGCCCTTCAAGCAGCCATTTTCTCCAGGGGAGCTGATCAGCTGGAGATCAGTTGTAAAAGCAGGGTATACCCAGGCTCCACCTGGAGGCTGGCAACTCTAGGAGTTTGGCAGCCCTAGACTAGCAGACTAGCATTGCCAGCCACAAACTGGCCACAATGGGGAGCTGGGGCCAATCACAAAATGTT